CGAATCTGCGGATCTTTGATTGGTGTTCCTGTCGCCAGTTTCCTATTTGTTCTTTTTCCAGGGGACGTATCCGCACATGGAGGGTACTCAGCCTTGCAGACAATTGACGCTTTCTCCGAACCAGCGAGGCCTGGGGAGTGGGGCGTCAGCTTGAGTTCGGAGGGATTTGTGCGCCTGTGTGGCACAATCAGTACACTCAGAGACTATTCTCCCAGGATCATGATTATACTTTGGCCAAAAAAAGGTAGCCCACAACCCCATTCTAGTCATTTAACGCCTTACAATCCTTACATTAGAAGGAAACATGGCAGGGGTCCAACTAGACTTTGCTTCCTTGGTGATTTGAACATTGCCTTGCGGGGTCCATTTCAATGACTCTGCTTTTGATCGGGGTGATGCTTACGGGGCAACTCTTCCTGGGTTGATTTCCTGTTTCCCAACATGTTCCATCCTCCTTCTTTGCAACGCCAGTTTTTTCCGCCTGGGTCTTCGCGGGTTTCCGGAAAGAAGCGCCTCCCTCAGAGTGGGGGGCAGCTGCCCCCCAGAACCAGAAGTGACGCTCCGCGATGAAGGTGTGCCTGCTCAACAAGTGCGACCTCATCGACGCGGCACGAAGGGATCTGGTCGGGAACCCCACAGCCCACGACTTGCCCGCCGCAGGTTTCGGGATTTTCGATATGAATGGCTGATCTCTTTTGGAGTTTGTAGCGCTGGTTTGTGGTTTCAAAGGGAAACCAACCGCAAACTTTGAACCCAACCGCAAAACCACGATTTTGGATGGGTCCCTCCTTCCCATACTTCCCTTTTTTGCTGAAAGCCATCACGTTTTGGGTCATTTGACATGAGTTTTTCTAGGTAGGGGTGATCTTTAAATGGGAGTAAGAGGGAGGCCTGTTCTTGTTATTTGCTTTTTCCAGGGGTCCACCCAGAAAAGGGTTCGGCAAGGGCGAAAGGGCCTCAGCGGGCAGGCCCTCAGATTAGGTTCCAAGTAGACTTACACCGACAGTTTCCCCTGGGGCTTTAGTCAACTTTTGAGGCGACGGCAGGGTAAGGATTTGTCTTTTTTAGGGAATCCGTAGTTGCCTGGTTTTAAAGGGAAGACGAAAGGCCACCACCAAATTTGAGGGTTCACCTATTTTGAGACTGACCCATGACACTTGGCAACTGTTCGGCAACAAAGTGATAAAGCCGACTTGGACTTTTGGCCTCCGCTTTCTCGTGGGTTTTTGTTTTGGATCACCCTACGATTTTGGGGTTTGTCCAACAACCCACGAAAGCTCGGCGCGTGCTTCGTTGCGTTTTGCGGCAGGTCAGCGAGCGGGTCCGCAAAGTGAACCCCTCCACGCGGGTGGTGCCCTGTCGCCAGGGCAAGGCGGGCCACGAGGGAGTCGGGGTTGGAAAGGGTAAGAATTCCAACTGGGTTTGTATTTTTTTTGGTACTCTTTTCGGGGTTGGTTCAAAAGGCGCTTTTTGGGGGGTGCCCCCTAAAGATTGACAGAACCAATGGGACCCCTGCTGAACCTCAAGGGCAAGCTCAATCCAAGGAAATGTGGGTGTTGAGGGTACTTCGTTAAGGTTGGGGGAACCGAAAGCAAAGTCGTCACAGTTTGGGGTCACCCTATTTGAAGACATACTCAGATGGGAACCCAGTTGGTTTTCATGAAGCTCCTGTTGATTTGAAAGGGACATCTTCACTTTTTGGGGGCCCTCCACGCCAATGCAACCTTGGCGTTCACACTGTCCAGTTTCACAAGGCCCCCCGCCACATGGAGGTGGGTCCTTGAATTTTTCCGATATGTCAAGGTTCACTAAAACGTCTCTTTCTGAGGGTTCCCCTGTTTTTGTGGTGTTGTAAAGGGGGGCCAAAAGGAAAACCGCCATTTTGTTTCGGGGAGGGCCCAGGAACAGGACATTCCCAAGTTGGAACGGAATGAACAATAACTTGCTTTTTTTTTGCGGGGGTGAGAGCTAAAGTTGTTCACATGCTGCCGAGCTTTCGGGGAATTTCCTGCTGTTTTGGGTTCCTGCTGCCTGTTTCCCACGTTTCTCACGTTCGGTCCATTGAACCTCAGAGGCATCCACTTGGAGGAGACCAGGGTGCAGCGATATTTCCCCCCCAAGGAGAGGTTTCAAACATCACCTTGTCGAGAGGTCAAAGTTTTAAGGTTGTTGAACTTCAGCGTTACATAAGGCTATCATCGAATTGTTCCCTTTTTGGTTTGAGAGGGGAAGGAAAGGCCATGACAGGTACTTGTTTTCAAATATACCCTTCACTCACTTCGCCCTCCGAGTTGCACAGCTTTGTTCGCTCTCTTCACCCACTCACCACGTCTTCACCCACTTTGTTGCTTCCAACCCGCCCAAAGCCCCCAATTTTGACCGTTTCCCGGGTTTTGCTCCCGAAAAGCCAATCCTTGGGCAGGCGGCCTCCCAGCACGTGTCGACACAACCGGCGACACAGAAACCATCGCCAGGTGAACCTGGCGCAGGTTCTGAAGGTGAACTCCTTCTCCTTGGACGGCGCCCTCTCGCTGGAGCCGGGGGGGGGGGGGGAAGTCGTTTCCGCTGGTGTTTTTCCTCAGCGCGAGGCATTTCTATTTGTTTGGCGCGGGATGGCGCGGGTCAAGGGTAGCGGTTTCATGTGTGTGTGTGTGTGAGAACCTTCCTAGTTCGCGGAAGATGGGTTCACAACCCGATGTTTTTCTTGAAGCAGGGGGTCAGGCCGCCTAACAAAGACCATGCCAGGGAGTGGAGATATGGAGCAGGGACGCCTGGTCCACGTACCTCGTGTGTGCATAGTTTTTCTGGCTTGAACTTGAGTGTCGTGTTCGTGAGAGCCCCTCAAACGCTCAGCTGCACCGTACGCGTCTGAAAAGCGTGGGATGGAGTCCAGAAGTCGCAGGCATTTTGGGAGGAAACAAGGCCTTTGGGATTTAATGGGTCTGCTTTTTTTCGAATTGGTACTACGTGTTTGGGTGGTTTTCACTTTTTGCAGGCCGAACGGACCACCGCAATTTCCACTTTGGGGTCCCGGTGAGGTCCAACTCCTGAGTGGGTCAGGACGCGCACTTCCTGAGTGGTGCCAACGGCTCGGGGGCCGAGTTCGGTTCGGCGCCTTTTCCCGGCGCATTCGGTCGGACCCCCGTTTTGTGGGCGTTTTGGAGGGACACCGCAAGCAATGGTTGGGGCGGTGTCTGTGCAAAACGGGCCCTTATAGATAATTAGAATGTGGTACTTGAAAACTAAATTCAGCTATGATTATGATCGTAAGAGAACCAGGTGTGTAAAGTACTTCCTTTAGGACTGGGCGGCCAGACGGCCTCTTCAATGTTGGGGTTGCAGGTGGGACAGCTGCGGGGTGCTTTTGGCGCGGTTCTGGAGGTTCCTGCCGGTGAGCTGTTGGGGATACTTGGCGGATTTTCCTGCCGTAATCTGCCGCTGGGTAGTTGAATGTCACAAAATCTGAACAAATGTTATCTCTGTGTGGTTCAGGATGTAGGCTAAGTAATGGTTGGCTTAGGGGTTAGGAGACTTCTTCGCCTTCAACGCGGATGCACTTGGCCGACACTGGGGGGTCAACCCATTCCTGTATCGACTTCACGGCCCCCACCAGCACCTGGGTCCCAACGCAACCATTGCTGCTTGGTTATTCTACTGGTTGAAGCAGCAGTGGTTGGCAGAATGGGTTGGAGGGGAGAGGGGGGGGTGGGGTATTTTCTCTGAACGGGTTAAGGAGGGAGGACCATGGCAACCAGCTGAGGCGAGTCCTCTGGGCATGGCGAGGGGCACGAGGGCGAGGGCCACGAGGCGGAGAGAAGTGGGGAGGTTGTGCCTCGGTCAATGCCGGACTCGGAGGAAGTATACGCCCCTCTACAGGGAATTTACACAACCATTGCAGATTTCGAAGGGAAGCATGATCACCTTGGCCGGCACCCTCAACAGTGTCTTTCCCTTAAATAGGCCCTCAAAAAAATGAACAACCTTAACAGGGTTGATTAGGCCCTGAAAAGAATAAACACTGAAACTGGGCAACCCCTAAAAAGTGATAACTTAGATAGGCCCTCAAAATAATGAACCCTGAACCCCCCCCCCCAAACAAAAAGAGGGTAGCCTCCAAAATTGCCGTGCCCCCAGATTTCTGCCCTGAGGGGGCGGAGCGCCCTCACGCCCACAGCATCATGAGCAGCCTGGGCCCGGGGCCCGACGCCCGACGAGAGGGTTGGTTGCAAAGGGAAACCATGAGGAGGCTGCGGTCCTTTAAAGGTGTGTGTGTGTGGGGGGTGCCCTTTCCACCTTTCCATTTTAAAGGGGGTTCCCTTAAAACTCCAACCAGGGAGAAAAGAACACGTGGAATTTACGGCCCGCCTTTTCTTGCCATGGAGTTTTCACTGGGGGGGTGGGGGGGGAGGGGGTGCTGGCAGCTTCAAAAGCCGTGCCCGAGGCCTGGAAAGCCCTCAGGCGGCCCAAAGGGACGCCCTGGAGGCGCCGAGAGTCGGGGGGCGATACCCCGGCAGGAGCGACCTCCAATCCCAGCGATTCCGCTTGCCACAGGTGACCAAGGGAAACAACACCATTTACGAACCAATAGGTGAATCACCAAGGGAAGCAAACCATCACGTGCATTCATTTTCGAACTGGATGGGAACCAGGGGCGCTAGCAGGGTCCCTTGTTTGTGAATTGTATTTTTCCCAGACGGGTGCGCCCTTTCAACCAACATGACCTATTTTAACCACACCTACCTCCAAGACGGCACAACATTGTATCGAAAGTGGGGAACACGTGTCAGCCAAGGAGGTCTCGGACAACTGCCTTCAAGTTGAAACTCGCAATGTGTCCAAAGGATCGAGTTTTTTGGAGCCAGCCAGGGGGTCAAACCCAATTGGGTCAAAGGAAAACCAGCATGAGATCAGCCATACCTCTTGCACACCTGTATATGCATTCCTACAGGTCAGGCCACCAGGTGCTCTGAAGTTGGCAAGCCTTCTTGCAGATCCGTCAGATGCTTTCAGCCACAGCCGGGCCGCAGCCGTGCTTTTTCGGCCGCAGCAACGTCGCCAGAGCTTTGGTATCGATGAGCGGCCGTCGGAAGGGTCTGTTGACGTTGACTGCTGTGCTTTGTATCAACTGGCTGCCCGACCAAACCGCTTCCTGGTCAGCTGCTTTAGCGCCGGGCTGGTGGCGGCGAGGTAGGCCAAGGAAGCTGCACGGCAGAAGGGCGGAGGTGGAGTTGTTGTCCCAGGTGGCAAGGGTTTTAATGCCGGACGAGCCAATCGGAGAGCTGTTTCGACGCTTTCCATCGCCTGCAGGGTGGAAGGGAAACTACTTGGATCCGGATTTGGCGGCGTATGGGGTGTTGAAGTCGCCGGATGCTGCGCTGTTTGTGGAGTACGACGGCTTCTGGCGGCATGGGCAGGCAGAGGGCAGGCAGAGGGATGCAAGGAAGACGGCGGCGTTGTTGGCTTTCGCGCCAGTAGGGTCCAAGGTGCTGCGGATCGGGCATCTTCCCGCAGCAGAGGAACCGATGGGGGCCGTGCATATTCGCATGAAGCCCTGGCGCCAGGGGGACGTCAAATCGTTTGAGAACGTATTGTCCGTGCTGACACGGCGTATGGGGCGCCAGTTGGGGAAGGACTTGCGGTCAGATGTTCGAAAACGGCTGCAAGACTTTGAGCAGCGAACTTGTGCGGTTGCAATCACTTATGCCACTTCAGCGTATGTCTGCGGCACAGCTCGCAACCTGACTGACGTGTTGTTGCCCTTGGCAGAAATTGGGATGGACAAGGCAGGAATCGCGGCAGTGGGTTCCCGCTGTCGGCCAGTCAGTGAAGCATCAGTCCGGCAGACAGTCATGTCGTTGGAAGTTGTAGGCTTGAGCAAAGCGCAAATCACAAAAGCAGTGGCTTCTCGTCCGTCATTGCTGGGTTACAGCATCGAGGACAACCTGAAACCGACAATGCGCTGGCTTGCAGAGCTGGGGTTGAGCAAAGCGCAGATCGCGAAAGCAGTGGCTTCTTTTCCGTCATTGCTGGGCTGCAGCATCGAGGCCAACCTAAAACCGACAGTGCGCTGGTTTGCAGAGCTGGGGTTGAGTAGGTCGCAGATCGCGAAGTCAGTGGCTTCTTTTCCGTCATTGCTGGGCTGCAGCATCGAGAACAACCTGAAGCCCACAGTGCGATGGTTTGCAGAGCTGGGGTTGAGCAAAGCGCAGATCGCGAAAGCAGTGGCTTCTTTTCCGTCATTGCTGGGTTACAGCATCGAGGACAACCTGAAACCGACAGTGCGCTGGGTTGCAGAGCTGGGGTTGAGTAGGGCGCAGATCGCGAAAGCAGTGGCTTCTTTTCCTTCATTGCTGGGTTACAGCATCGAGGACAACCTGAAACCGACAGTGCGCTGGTTTGCAGAGCTGGGATTGAGCAAAGCGCAGATCACGAAGATGGTGGTATCACATCCACCGATTTTGGCCTATAGCATCCGCAGAAACCTTTTACCAAAAACGGACTTGTTGTTGACGCATTTTTCAGCAGCAGACCTTGCCGCGTTGATTGCGCGCTTCCCACCATGCTTGGGCTACAGCTTTGGGCGCCTGCAAGCCCGCGTGTCTCTTTTGGCTACTCAAGGCAAGCTGTCGAAGTTGCGCCAAGCAATGGTGCTTACACCTGCTGCCTTTGATATAAAATTCAGGGGAAAACCTGCCCTACTGGGTGGCTTAGCGTGCAGTCGCCACCTGCTTTGTGTTTATGGAGCTGCTTTCGGTGGATCATGGCGTTTGAGTATGTGTTTGGGCGGGGCTCTCTTGCAAATCCAGCGGTAAGCGGGCATGAAGCCGCCCATGAGGCTGATGTTGCCGGCTGTGTTGGCACTTAACAAGTTGGCCATTCTTGTTGAATTGTCCGCTCAGGGTGAGTTGGTCGTGTTGTGCCCACATGAAACACTCAGACACAAACTGAATGGGCGAGGTGCCACTGCACTGCTGTTCACACCACTGCCATCCTTTTAAGCATTGCCAGTTGCATTCCGAAGCATTGCCGCTTGGAGAGTCCAACCTGCAGCCAGGGAATTCATGGGCTTATGTCCTTTTGGGGCCCCTTGGGGCAATGGTTGGAATCTTTTTTTTGGGGACCCATTTTTTGGGGGATGAATTTTCAGGGGAGTAGCTGTTCAAAGCGAATTCGGCACCCGAAAATACGGGCGAGTCAGAGCGACGATGGCGCCAGGAGTGGCTCAAGTCTGTGGTGGAGAGACTAGGCAAAGACCTCATCCGCCCGGCCCCCAAGCGCTGCCAGAGACCGATGACTTCGCTGAACCCTTTTGCCCCCGTGGTGTTGTTGATGCAAGTACCAGACCCTTTGGCTTGTGCGAGTTGCATTTTTTTCATCCTCCTTTTCAATAAGCAAAAGGATATGACTTTTGGAGGGGGGTTGAGTCCCCTTTTGGCTTTGAACAAGCAACATGTTCACTTTTTGCAGTGGGTCCAAGTCTGGCCAAGACCTGCCACGTCCAGTCCATGTTGCGCGGCCACCTTTGGGGTATGGCTTCTTGAAGGTTCCTAGCTATAGAGGGATGGGTGGGTGGATGGAGACTTTTGGGATGTTGGCCTGAAGATGGATACATCTTCAGGCTTTCGGGTTGGGAGACTTTACAGGGATTGATGACGCATCCCGCTTAAGGAAGCGAATTCCAGTCAAGCGCTTTAGGAAGTGTGAAGAGATTCACGTTGCAAGGGCAATCCGATTCCTTGAAGGATAGGATCAATAGCAGTGATTGAGGTTTAGGGTTTGGGGTGAGGGTTTAGAGTTTGCTTTTGTGCATCGAGCTGCACACAAGCCTGACGAGCAGACACGGCTTGACGACAGGCAAACACTGTGCCATTCTGCGCACCCCGCCGCGCAACGTGGGTTCACGGATGTTTGTCCCTGCCTGGTTCAGCGGCTATCTCTATCAGCATCCTTGTGGTGTCCTACATAATCTTCATTTTGAACCTTCAACTCCAATGATCAAGCCATGCAAAGACACACCTGTTTGGCTTGTTTGCATTGTGTTGCCGGGGGGGGGGTTCACAGTTTGTGACTGGCCTTGCTGTGGCTTTCTGCCTTGAATCATTGCGAATCGTCCAAAATAAAATATTTTTCGGCTTTGTGCTAGAATCAAGTGCCAGGCAGGCTACCGCGCAGAAAAAACATCCTTGAAGTCAGAGGAGATCCTTGATACCAACCAAAATGTGTGAAACTCACCTTCACCTCGAGGGATTTTTTCCCGGATGTCAGCTTTGTTGGCACTGAGCCTCCAAAACAGAGATCCATACACAACCCAAAGCCGATGGGTTTGGTCGCGGCTCGCCTTGCCCGATGTTTCATCAATTCTCAGGGAACAGGATGCATGGAACCATGCCCTGCAGGTTGACATGGAACGGACCACACGTTGGTAGAGGCGTCCCCTTTTGGCATGAATGGGGTTCGCCACTTTAGAAGGTCAAACCGTCGAATCAAAAAGAGCAAGCTGGAGGTTTCAATCAAACTGATGAACACCTGAAGGTTTGTTTGGATTGCCTGGCGGAAGAACCACAAAAACGCAGGGCTGCGTTGCTCGCCACTGGCCTCTCCCCACGAAAAGATGACGCCGAGACGCTTGCAAGGCATGAAAGGCGTGCTGAAGGCACCGGAGGCGAGGAGAACCGGGCGTGAATGGGGTTTGGACGTGGTCGAAGCGCCGGTCGCCGCACGGCATGTTGTGGGTTGTTCCGTTCTATTCTGAAATGGACAACTGCTTTCTTTCAGGCTTGAGGTTACCCTTTGCATTGATCACCCTTTCATCTTTCACTATCCGAAGGGATCAGGTTGAGCTAGTTGGTTGAAAAAGGAAACTAGTACGGTTCTCAAATATATTTGAACAGTTCGTGAGAGGGATTCAATTTACAGTTGTTTCTGGAACTTGGATGCCGACATGTCATCAATATCGGCTTCATTTGCTATTTGCATTCGGTCGTTTGTCTCATGTGTTTTAAAGAACCTGTTTTAAAGAACTCCCCCAACGAACATCTTTTCCAGGACAATGCCCTCGACCCAAGATGGGCGATTTATCGAAGCTGCAGGCGTCCAACGTGCAGCTTTTGCGATACTCTCCGGTCGACTAATGTTGACCCCGGATTAATAAACCCCTGTTTATTAATATGGGGGTGTTCCCCTCCAAAAGTGATAAATTCCCACTAAAACCAGGGACACCCCCACATTAATAAACAGGGGTTTATTGATCCGGGGTCAACATTAACATGGAAGCCACCAGACGGTCCCTGTTTCAGGAAAAGAGTCTTCCAGGACCTCGCATTCAGTGTCCATGTTTGTTGACAGGAGGGTGCTGCAAATGAAAGTACAGCTTGGAGCTTTGCAGCTTGCACCATGAGTTGTGGCTTGCTATGCATGCCTGAAAGCCTCACATCCCACTGATTCGCTCTACATTGGTGCAGGGATGGAGCAGATGTCGAGATGTTACAAATCTTTCGGCCAAGGTTTATTGGACGTTTTACATGGCTGCCAAGAAAACCACCAAGAATTTGCAAGGGGATGTTAAGGGAGGACCCGGGTCATTGATATTGGCCAGACCCATCAATATATGATGACCCTTGGTCCCGGAGTTGTTGGAGTGTTTGGAGATGTGCGGCCCCGACCCCGCGAATGACAGGGCGCCTAGGGCGATCTGCAATGTGAAGGGTATCACAAGAGGCCAGGAAGTCATGCTCATGTCATAGGACAGGAGTAAACGCTTATTTTGCTCTTAGCCACCCACATGGGACCCGGTGGACATTATGCAGGTGGGGATCGTGTTCGGCAACCACTTTTGAGATGGTTTCCTCGAACAAATCAGGCCGTATAACCGTCCCACCAATTTCTGGAAGCCCATTTTCCTTTTAAAGGGGCCCCCTGTCAGGTTCCATGTGGATGGGTAGGAGGGTACGTTGCATTGATGTCGCAGCATTGGCTTAGCTTGCGGATACCCTCCAGCACCATCCACGTCCTTCGCGACCTGGGATCGACTGCGCTTCGATGGCGAAGCTGGGGCCTCGGTGGAATGAGCGGCTTTGGAGTCACCGGAACCAAACGGATGGTCTAAGGAAATCAGAGAAGCCACCAGGGGTGAATCGACTTCTTGACTTGTTGGTCCACAAGAAGAGTGGTGCCGCAAGGTGACTGCCTGTTTCCCGGTTGGTTGCAAGTGAGTCAAGTGAGACCCACACTTCCTTCTCTTCTCCTTTGCCCCTTCCCTTCCCCACGCCTGTTCCCCTCCTACTCCCCTACGCCCCTTTGGCCCCTTCGCCCCCTTCCTTGTCCTTTGTCGCCCTCAGCCTCTTCTCTTGCCTTCACTTGCCTTAGGAAGAAGGTCATGGTGGACGTGATCAGCGATGTGGTCTGACCCTTCTGCTGGATCGGCAAGCGGAACCTGGAGGGCGCCATGAAACAGCTTCCTGGCATTCTCGAGAAAGAGGTCTGTCTCCAGGATGGTTGTTGTTCCTTTTGATTCCTGAAACAACCAACCAAAGACAGAGTTCTCGCCAGGAAAGACAACCCCCAAATTGCAGTTGTCTCCCTTCGACCTTTCTTCAAGTGAAGCGGACATTTGACGCGATGTTTCAAGGGTTGCTGAAGGGCATGATGCACTCTGACTCTGAACAGCCTCAACATAGAGTTTAAGCGAAAACCACACCTTGGATGGGTTGGCTTAAAAACTAGTTGGACAACCACACCCTGGTCCGAACTCAAGGGAACCAAAACGAGGTTGTTTGCACAATAGCTGTGCATCTTTATAGAGGGGGCGTTGACTTTGCCCAACCGGACCCAGTTCCAACCCACTCCACCTCGCTGGCTCATTCGTTCTCGCGCATTCCTGCATTCGCTCGCAGGTGCCCGGACCTCGACTTCGAGGTCCGGTGGCTGCCCTACCAGCTGAATCCTTCTGCATCTCAGGAGCCCCAGAGCCGCATCGAGGCGCCCGCGCCCGCGCGAGTGCGCGAAACGGTCGCAAATCGGTCGGCGAATTTGCGCGCGGACTCGGTGTTCGGGGGCTCTCTGTGTTTCTTGGTTTTTCTCGCCCGGGCGACGGGGAAGGCTCGGGGTTTTCGGGTTCCGGTGATTCCATTCATTTGTCAAGTGGAGGCTGGTCTGTTTCCCGGATCAGCCAGACAGTTTTGGGTGCTCGCTGGTTTCGCCGGCCATTGAGCCCCCTTCTTTGCCTGAAGCATACCGCCATTCTGGCCTTTCTGACTCCTGACAGCCGTGGAAAAAAATGTAAGTCGGTTTGGTGGACATGCTTCAACTCACCTGTGAATCAACATGCTTCACCGGGCTGTCAGCTTAGTCAACTTTAAGCTGCTTACGAGCGAGTAGATTGCGGATGCCCGCCCACTAGCTAACACGGAACTCAGCAGAAGGTCCACCCGCCTTTCATGGGTGGGGATGGGCAGCTAGTCGGCTTTCACGCAGACCCAAAGCAAGGTCCAAAATGATTGAAGGTCCCAAACCTTCCAAAGCTCTCAAGCGGAGGTGTGCTGCCTTTTTGCGGGAACTGTAGCCGTTTCGGGTTTGTTTGAAGGGAAGCCAACAGGAAGCTGCCCACCAAATGGTGTCTCATGACACATACAGTGCATTCAGGCCTACCAGAAGAAGTTCGGGAAAGGCATTGAGGAGGTGAAGGCGGGGTCATCCGATCCGATTGGATCCCCTGCCTACCGTGGAAAGGGGAGGGATGGGCGGATCCACTTAGCAACCTGCCGTCCGCCAGTGGGGGGAGCGGCTTCACCTCATCTTGGCACCACAAATCGTCTTGGGTTTTTAGCTGACTCTGACCTCGAGCCCCGTCGATCTCAACAGTCAATGGGTTTGGGTGATGCTAGCGAAGCTTAGCCTCCTACATTCCCGCGGACATTCCTGGAGTGATGCATAGTGATGCTATTTGGGATCTTCTAGGAGTACGGCTCAGCTGTAGCTAGGGGTCTTGGTCGACTGAGCCCAACCATCCCAGTCAAGCAGTCGTGGTTTTGGGCCCTCAACTGGGCTCCCAGTTATTACTTTGGGCGTTGAAAACGCTGGCGCGTTTTCGTCGGGTTTGCACGTGTCCGCTCCTCAGGCCATGGGGGGCTTCATGAAGTCCAAGTTCGACGCTGTGGAACTCCCCTTCAACTTCACCGACAAAGCCAAGGCGCGCCACGCGCCCGGAGGTCCGAGTGGTTTTGACGGTTTTGGCCCCGTTGCGGCTTGCTTCCCCCCTTTGAGTGGCAGTTTTGGGGAACATGTAGGGGGCGGTTTGTTTTTAGGCCGCCTTTGCCGCTGAGGGTTACCTGAGCTCCTGGACCATTTGGGTGTGTCTTTAAATAGGGGAACCCCCCAGAATGATGGTTTTCCTTGTGGTGTCCCTTGAAAACCAACATCTGTCAGTTAGCGAGGGGAACTTCTGAGGAACACCCAAGAAGGTCCTTTGCTTGGAGAACTCTGATTTGGGTATGTGCCAAACCCGGGGGTATACGCAAAAAAGGATTTTGGTGGTCCGTTTGGTTTCCCTTTACCACAGCTGGGCGACTCCCCTGGGCGCGTTTGTTGGGACCTCCCCAGATCAGCAACACCTTCGACGCGCACCGTGTGCTGACTGCTGCCTTCAAGCAGCCTGGCTGGTAGGGAATGACTCAACGATTCTGGGTGTTGGAATGAACCGAGTTTGGGGCATTCCGTTGAAGGAACTCATATTTGATGGATGGTTTTGTTTTGGGGGTCGTTCCAATTTTCACTCCCTTGGAGTCTCCGCAAGGGAAGCTGTACTTGGTGGTTCCCAGCCATCTGGTTCCTTAGGTTTTTAGATGTTTAGTTGGTGTAATGGCGGTTTTTTTTCCACTTAACCCGCTGAAACTTAAACTTTTAGCAGGGCATTGGACAGTCTGAGGACAGCCCAGTGTGTCAAGTTCACGTGGGTGCGGGGTGGTGGGGGAGGGAGTCAACATCTCTCAACCCGGCGCTTGGTAAGTCAACCTTTCCCTTTTGGCCACTTCCGCTCCCCTTTTCCCGGCTGCAACTGCAAGCCTGCTCATATTTACACATATGGGTGTGGCTCAAAATTAAACAGGAGGGGCAAACCGCAGGTTTTGGTCCATGTTTGCACTTACCAGGGCAACCCATTTTGGAATTCCGGTTTTTTGAGCCACAGTCATATCATGCCCCATAAGTCTACCTTCGATGCGGTGAGGCCACTGCGGAATCCTCCCTTTGACTGGTCGTGAATATCATGATATTGACTTTTGGTTTAATGGGTACCAAACCGCATGCTGAAAAAACCCATAGGCCTCTCAGCATATTCCTTCTATAGCCTGTTGTTTGACACCCACCATAATTCGCAAAAAAAACAAAAACAAAAACGCAAGCCCATCCATAGGCCACAAACCCTTTCTGATTCTTCAGGCCTGTTTTGTGGGGTTCCTTTGGGCATGTCCCAAAGTGTTCTTCTCCTATGGGTTAGACCTATCTAAAAGAGCGTAGGCCCAGGCTTTCGGCGGTTGCACTGGTGGATCGCCTTCCCCCACGAAAAGCCTTTCAGTTGTCTCGAGAATCGGGGACCTGCGGGGAGGCCTGGAGTCCATGCTTGATTCAGAGCCAACTCGCAGGAGCCATGAGGATATGGCCCTTGGTTTGGCCCCCTGGCCCCGATCAAAGTCACGAGTCAATGAGTCACCGGGTTGCAATGATTGATCACCCCCCATGGACCACCAATCGCCGTCTCTGCCAGAATCTGGTTTTCTTCCAAGGGCATTAGACCAAGAATCCGATCAATCCCTTGCACCGGGTGCACCTTCAACTATGGATCCAGTACCAATCCTTTTCCAAGGATCAAATCCATGTACTTTCTTCCAAGGGTAGGGGTTAAACCAACAACCCCATGTGAGGGTTGACCAAAAGGTCCTTTACATGGGCTGATCCTGAGCTTTAACCACCATCAAGGATCCAACTTTCACCACATGGGGAAAGTTACCCATGATCACTTTGCAAGTCATCTTTCCCCCGCAATTCGGGGGAATATTGATCAACCCCCAGGCACCACTCCCTCCCTCTCCGGCGGTGGCTCCATCGCTGGATCGCTCGATCACGCCAGCGGCGGAATCGGTCGGATTGGATCGAGGCAGGGGGGCGCGGCGGCCCAGGACAAGGCGGCGGAGGTGCTGTTCGAGGCCTACTTCGCCGCGGAGCCGCGCGGATCTTTTGTGGGGAGCGGGGGGAGCGGAGGGAGCGGGGGGGGGGGGGGATTTGGGGGTTTGGGGGATTGGGGGGGGAAGAGGCGGCCGGGGAGGGGTGGGGTAGGGGGTGGTTTAGCGCGTGTTTTTTTTTGGGGGGGGGTTGCTGGAGTTGTGGTTTGTTTTTAAGGGGTTTTCCAGGTTTTGGCTTTTGTTTTCAAGTTTTTCTTGGTGGGGTTGGTGAGAAAGTTCTGGACACAGACTTGGCCATGCCTCTTCTTGTATGAAGGCAGCAGAGAGGCAATTGCAGATGCTTCCAGATAGTTGAACGGAAGGATGCGTTGGAGGTGACAACTTTCGGTAAAGTCATCAGACACACGCGAAATGCCCCCTGCAGATTGGCATAGCTCCTTTTTTGGAAGGCTTTGCAGAGAAGTTTCACGGATTTGGACCCGAACACGAAGCTCCCAAAAGACAACAAATAGTAGAGAACACCTGGTGCCTGGACAAACATCTGTACAACTTGTGCTTTCCCGCACTGCACCTTTCCATCAAGGTGGGTTCGTAAATAGGAGTTGTTTGGCTTCACCACTTACAAATGGTTGCAAATGGTGGTTGTTTCCATTGGCCTCTATCATTCTATCAAGCTCCCAACCCCCCCCCCCCAAACAAAAGAGCAAGAACAACAAGCTCACAAGCAAGTTGGAAACGCCACATCTAGCAGAGTGCATGCTCCCAAAAAAATTTGCTCCTTGATTTGCAGCGGCTCCTTTTCGGACGGGGGAGAAATTCCCCGGGCACCGCGTCGGCCGCTCGTCGGCCGCTCGCCTCGAGGAAGGCGCCCAACGACCCGGAGGCGCTGAAGAAGGCGGCGGCCGCCGCCGGCCTCGCGGAGAACGTGCGGCTCGCCTCCGTCGGGGTGGGGTGTTTCCGCATTCGTTTGTTTTTTTTTTGGCTCTCCGGGGGTTTGGGGTTGGGGGGGGGGTTTCTAGCTTGCAAATAGTGGGACCCCCCCCCCAGAAAAAAAGAGTGGGTGGTTGGTGTTTTGGAGGGTGTCTCCAAGATAGTGGGGAAGCACCCCAAGAATGGAGCCCTCCCTGAGTGTGGTTATAACCACTCTTGGACCCCTGCGTGTAATTGTTGATGGTTTTTGAGGGTGCCTCCCTGATGATTGGAAGGGCGCCGATGGTTTTGCAGGGGGTTGTCCGTAGAGAAAAGAACGAGGCCAGGGGGTTTCCGCATAAACGAACGGCCAACCAAAAAGGGGGGGAGTTCTACCTTGAAACAGGGGAACCACCCAACATGGGCGGGGTTTTCCGCATGAAACAAACACGAGGCCAGGGCTTCAGCTTTAAATTGGGGGAACCCCAAAATAGAAGCATGTGTTTGCGTGCTTGTGCTTTTTGGGGCGTCTCCCTTGCTTTGCGTTTGTGGGGCCTGCCTCCAAGACTTGCATGTGTGTTCCGCTCAAATAGGACTGGTCACTGGTAAATGTACTAAGTGTTTTGAAGGCTCGGTTCCAATTCTTTTGGGGTATGTTTCAATGGAAAACTGAAAGCCACCCAAAATGGGGCGGGGTACTGTCAAAGAGCGCCCGCCCACGTTGACGGGACATTTACATCCCCACCCCCCACTGGGATCGGTCTGCTCCAAAAGTAGGCTGAAACCGAATGTGAAGATATGAATTTTGGAGTCTGCAGATGGGCAAGGCCAAGTGAATGTAGGGAAAGGGGGTCGGTGGTCACCTTGTATTCCTCATTTGAGTTGCAAGTGAGAGGATCTTGAAGTCAACCCCATGCTTGTTTCATCGCTCAGAGTGGACCCTCCCAACACGTGAAATACTTGGTCTTTAATCCTCACCGCACAGCGATCCCCAAGCGCAACCCTCAGTGGGAAATGGGGTTTCCCCAAAAAATACGACCTTAACTTGCGGCCTGCAGGCTGAGTTTTCGCTGTGAACACTTGGCTGCCACAAGCCAGCTATCTAGTACCCGGCGTTGCAGATGGCCAAGCGGTATCTGCAGGCTTCGGATGCTGCACCAGCAGTCACCTTGGGTGCCCTCCAAAAAACCCGCAAAGGGGTACAATACACAAGCAGCAGCGAAGGCTGGACAAGAGTTTGGTATCGGGTACACTTGTGAGGGGTCAGGGGCATAGCGGCTAAGAATTGATGTTTTGATCTCATGGGGAAAAGCTTGATTATCAAAGGATCCCTAAACACACCCGAACCGGCAGGCCAACGTGAAAACAAAAACGAAACCTACCCTAAACCCACCCTAAGCAATATTGAAACCCGCCCTAACATTACGTGACCCACCCGAACTCAAACTCGAGCTCCTCCCCCTCCGGAAAAAAAAAAAGCGCGCCCAAACTCGAACTCGAACTCGAACTCCCCCCGCAAAAAAAGTAGCGGCGCGAACACGAAGCCGGACCCAACCCGAAACCAAGGCCCATGTGCACCCCAACCCGAACAATTGAGCAAACCCTAAGGCTGGACAAGAGCTTCGCGGCAGAGGAGACCAAGGAGGAGAAGTTTTGGGCTCAGATTCCGCCTGTTTCTCCCTTTTTGTTTGGGTTTCCAGGTTTGGGGTTCCCTTTCAACCACAAGACAAAAGCACACACACACACACACTTACCTGCAAATGCCTTCAAATAGGTGTCCCTAATCACGCCAAACAAAATTAAACAACAAATACCTGGGAACAAGAAAGGCGCTTGTTGGGAGAAGTGGTTTCCCAACTTGGGTCAAGGTCTACGTGGTAAACACAAGGGCAAGCCGCGCGATCGCGCTGACAAGACCCCAGATGCGGAATGCGGGCCCGCAGGAGATGAAGGTGGGTCAGCAGCTCTCAGCCGCCCGGCGATTCGAGTCAGGGGGAGGGGGGTCTATGAGGAATCCCTACGGTGTTGCGAATGTTTTCTGAGCCATCTGAGCCCAAAATTGTGTCGATTTTCTTTTTGAGGCCGGAGGGGGTTCCTTGAAAACCACAAACAGGGGGCAGTGGATGGGAATTATGAAGGCCAGAAGGTTTCCACAAGGTTTTCCCAATGTGTCCACACGGTGTAGTTTCGGTTTTTAGATTCTTAGGGGTTGCCTAAATTGGAATCCTGCCCTGATTCTGAGGGTCCGGACAATTCTAGAATGACCCATCCCCTTTGGGTGGTTAGAGCCTCACCCTTCTTGGGGAAGGTATGATCGAGTTGTCTTTTGACATTTGTGATGTTTACAGGTTGGACACACTGATGGACAACATCCGCGTTGCACTAGTTGGGATTGGAGTTGTTTGACCAGCCATTAAAATATGGTTTTATCCATCCTAACTGGTGTCCGGTGAGGGTTTTGTAAGTATACTGTGGGTATGTTTATCTCGTTTGAGGAACCTCGTTTTTTCCCGCCGTTAAAGAGAGCTGAAGAGGCCGAAGTTCATTTGGGCCATGTGAGATGGAGATAAACAAACAGCCAATGGAAAGCACAAGGGACGCAACCAGCCCCGACAACCCTAACCAACCCTGCAAGGGGAAATATAGAACGGGCTACGCCCGGGTGCCGCCGACCCTGTTTTTTTTTGCGGGCAGTTAGCGTCCATGTGTTGCAGCGGCACTCGTCCCGCGCCATGGCGGGGGTCGGATCGCATAGAGCGCAGAGAAAAAAGCCCACCAGTTCCTGCGCAGGCAGGTTCGCGAGGCGTGTTTTTGCACATACAGCGCAGTCCAAAGACTGGCTTGCAACAGCATCTCGACGCAAAAGGCCCGCTAGGCACCCAGGAGGCCCCCGCGGAGAAAGCAGAAGTTGAGCCCCCCGCGCCCCCCAAAACGCCCAAGCGCAGCGGCAGGGCGTGCCCAAAAGTACCAAAAATGGAGCGAAAAGGCGCGTGCGGAGGGTGGCGGAACGGCAGTTTCGGAACCCGTTAGGAAGACAAGGAGGGGCCCGGGAGCGACAGGGCCAAACCCAGCCCAGGCACGGCCGGCCGCAGTCACGCAGAGGCGCGCCCCCCGCGCCCCCCGACACGTTCAAGCGCAGTGGCAGGGCGTGCCCAAAAGTACCACAAATGGAGCGAAAAGGCGCGC